CCCGCGGCCCGCCCCGCCCCGCCGGCGGCCAGGGGCTGGACTCTGGTGACTTCGGTCCCGGCCCCCTCTGCCGCCTCCTAGTTACCCTGGAGATTGGATCCCCCGGACCCCTGCGTTCCCTCGACATTAACCCCAACCTTACACCCCTCTACGTCCTCCCGTTCATCCCAAAGCTGGGCTCCCGTCCCCTCCACTTCTTTGATGTTGACACCAGCCTGTCACCCTTTCTCTCAGCCTGAGGCCAGGCCCCGGTTCCCCCAATCCCCACCGCATTGACCCGGAGAATGGTAACCCTGATCCCCTGCTTCGACTTTGACTCCCAACCAAGGCTGGCCCCTGGCCCCTCTACCTCCTCCTTTCTGACCCAGAGGCTAGGACCCCCTCTGCTTCCTCGAGGTTGACCCCCACCCAAAGCTGGACTCCCATCCCTCCACTTCCTCTGCATTAACCCCTGACGGTTGCAGTACTGGTGCCAGCACTAACTCACTGCTTGGCCTTGGGCAGGTCAATTTGACCTCAGCTTCCTCTGTAATTCTCTGATGAAGAATGTGTCACTTTTTACAGCCAGGAGTAAAGCTAAGCCAGAGCCTCAACCCAGGGAACCAAAACCCTGTCAAATACCCATTTTAGGGAAATAAATCTAAAGACCCAGGTTCTGATTTCAACACGGTTTTTATTGGGAGGTTTCATTTTTGTTTTCTGTGAAATACACTAGAGGTTAGGGAAGGGGACACATTCACTTTGCAAGATAAGGGTTTCCCACCACTAAAGGAAAGGCATGGGGCGGGGCACACTGGGGTTTGGATCCATTTTCCCACCTCCTTCTGCTTGGTTCACATTTCTTTTCTCTCTCAGAAAGTACCAGAGAACACAAACACAAAGACAAAAAACAAAAACAGCAAGATCAACCTCCTCCAACAGGGCCACACCCAAGCCTTCTCCCCATCCCCAGGCTGTGCCTGGACTGAGAGGGGCCAGGGCAGCTCACTCTAACGGCCCCCAGGCCACACCACAAGGCTGCCGCTCAGAAGGCTCAGACTCAGACAGGAGTGGGCTGAAGTTAATAAATTAGAATAAATTATGGGGGGGGGGGATGCAACTTGTGCTGGGAGGGCCCCTTCTCTCCAACAGGCAAGAGAGTTGGTGGGGGGAGGCAGGGGGCATCTCCAAAGGCCACTACAGTGGGAGTAAGAGCGGTGGGGGCAGAAGTCAGCTTTTCCTCGACATTCTTCTCAAACGGAGCAGAAGAATTAGGGGCGGGGGGAAGAGACACACAAGGAGAGGAACCCTCTTTTCCTAGGATAAGGAAAGGCCAAAGAAAGAGGATGCTATCCAACCCCCCATCTCCCAAACCATCACTAAGGTTAAGGATTTGGTCAGTAAATCAATGAGGTGGGTGATGGGAATATGGTGGGGGAAGCAGAGGACACTGGACCAGGGGTGCCCAGCCATACTGTCTCCCCAGCCCTTGGGGAGAATAGACACGGGGGTAGAGCAGGAGCTGGGGGGAGGGGTCAGTAATCACTGGTCAGCTTCTCCAAAGACATCATTTTGTTTGCGCTTCATGTTCTCAAAGTCAAAGGCCGAGCCAGCCATGCGTTTGTAGATGTCTTTGATGTCATTGCAAGTTGTCTCAAAGTGTGTGGTGGCATCATAGGAGCAGGAACAGAACACCTGGAAACAGCCAGAGCCCGGGGCCGGGATGAGTTGGGCAGGACCCTGGGTGGGCAGCCAGGAGCTGGGGCTGGGACACGCTTCTTACCTGGCTCTCAGAACCATCATCAATGGGCTCATACAAATCACTGATAGCCACAAACCTACAGGGCAGACGGAGAGGAGGGGACAGGCTTCACAACAGGCCTTGCCCTTCCTGATCCCCAACTCCAAGACTCCCTCATTCCTTCCCCCTAAGGCTCAGCCCTGCCCCTCACTTCTGGTCAATGGGCTCCAGCAGCTCCAGCGCCGGCTCCACTTCCTTTTCGGGCTCCGTGGTCTCCACTGTGGTGCTGGCAATGGCAATGTACTTGCCCTGCGCCGCCACGTTGTGTGCGTAGGAGATCATGCACACGTAGATGTCTGGCCATAGGAAGCACCCCATTAATGCGGGCCACACATGGAGAGGGCTCTTGGGGGCTAGGCACAATTCTGGCCTGTCTGCCCCTCCCCAGCCCCACCCCACAACAGGCAGCACCCAAGCTGTCACCCTCAAGGAGGGGAAAAGTCCAAACCACTCAATCCCTAGGGCCCCAAGTCACGGGGACTGCAATGCAGGTCCCATTTCTTCTGTGATAGGGAGAGACAGAGCAACCCCAAAGACAATGCACTAGAGTAAGTCAGAGGGCTAGCTGGTTGGCTCTGTAAGTGAGGTAGGGTGGCACTGATAACACCAAGGTCCAGGGTTGATCCCTGTACCAGCCAGCCACCAAAGAAAAAAAAAAAATTGGTGAAATAAGTCACACCACGGCCTGGCCTACCTGACTTCCTGTTGACCTGGTTCTGGGGGATGATGATTTGGCAGGAGTTGGCATCGTTGGTGTTCTTGATGGGGTGGCTGAGGATGCAGATGATACGGATAACCTGGCCGGCCTTCCGCACACGGTCAGGAATGTAGCTGGGGTCACAGATCAGCTGCTTGCAGCGTGCCACCTGTGAAGGCACCAGAAGGCCTTGCCCTGTCAAATTATCTCTCCCCTAGGTGGTCGTGCATCTGGGCCCACAGCGAGGGCAGGCAGGTCCAGCAGGCAAGCACTCCTCTTAGCTGTCACTACTGCCCTCTTGTAGCGCATGGCCCCACCCTACAGCTCAGGGAAGCAGCAGCCCATCTGCTGAGATCCTGATCAGGAACACTTTCTGGACTATAGACATAGCACATGGCTTCTGAGAGGTACGTCTTGCCAACAGTAATGGCTATGGAGATTTCTTTTGGACCCCCAGTTCCCAGCTCTGAGACCCTTGGGGGTGAGGAGCAACAGAGTTGGGTTCACTTGGAACAGAGCCCCTAAGTTGGCCAGGTCCTGCCCCAACCACAGTGACTGCACTGCAGGGAAGGCTTACCTCTCCCTCAGACTTCACACCCACCACCTTGCCATTCTCCATGATGATGTCATCCACGGGTTTGTTCAGCATATACGTCCCCCCATAGATGGCACTCAACCTGTGGTGAGGAGAGAGATGAAGTTCACCTCCTAGGAGAGATGGGGACCAATTCCACCGCACCCTCCCTCCCTCCACCACCGAGGTGCAGAAAAGGCTGCCCGAGGCAGGTAGAAGTCAGGAGACCCAGTGATTCATGTCAGCTCTGTCACTGCCACAACTCAGGACACATCTCAGAATGCTCCTTCAATATTCTGCAAAGGGCTAGCGTGCGGGTGACATGAGGGAGCACCTCCACACAGAAACAGCCTGAGTGACCAGAATGAAGGACTCTCTAGAGAAGGGCCAGCTCCCAGCTAAGACCTGACCCAAAGTTCTAGGGCCCTGGGCCCAGTCCTGGTGCTGCCAGAAGTTGAGCACGCCACCTTTATGGAGACCTGGTTCTTCAACTTTGCACTTCAACGCATCAGGGTTGTGCCCTGTCACCCAAGGATGGAAGGAACTAAATGAAGATCACAGATGGGGCCGGCCCAGTGGCGCACTCGGTAGAGTGCGGCGCTTGGGAGCGCAGCGGCGCTCCCGCCGAGGGTTTGGATCCCATATAGAGACCGGTCTGCTCACTGGTTGAGCGCGGTGCGGGCGCAACACCGAGGGTTGCGATCCCGTTACCGGTCACGAAAAAAGACAAAAAAGGAAAAAAAAAAAAAGATCACAGATGGAAAAGTATAAAATGCTGCAGAATGCTTGAGGGGGTCATTCCATTCTTGGCCTATTAGTTCTACTGAGTAACGCCAACTGAAAACCACGTCCTCACCTTGCGAAGCCCTGGGGCAGCTCACCCAGGCCGTAAAGCGGGTATAAATATGGGCTCTTGCCATACCGGGCCAGGGACTCGCTGTACAACTTGATGCGGTTGATGGTCTCGAGACAGGGTTGGTCCAGATAGCTGGGGGTACAGGGGTCAGAAAAGATGCTCCAACAGCAGCGACCATGGTTCACCCTCACCCAGGCACCAGGCCAGCCTTCCCACCACCCTGAATGGCCTGGGGAAGACATGGGTCAAACGCAGAGGGATGGAAAAAGCTACAGGTGAGCCCACAGCTGAGCATGAGGGACGCGTGGGGTGGGCGGAGGGAGCAGCAGGCAGGCATGGGGAGGGCAGGGTGCGACTGGGCAAGGGGGCTGCCACCGCTCCAGCTTCCCCTCACTCATCAGTGCGATAGAGCGCCAGGGCGTGGCCAGTGAAATCGATGACATCCTGGC